GCCAGTCCATGAAAAAAGGTACAAACACGAAAACATTGCTGAGTTCTAAAAAGTGTGCTTAATTATTAGAATAATTGTGATCTATGAAACACCGTTACTTTTCCTCATTCGATAGATCTGTAAACTATTCACACCTTTCAGTGCCTATATCTCTGAGATTTGTAAAGATTTTGTTCAATTATTTCATATTTTTTATTCATTTTTCCATGTTTAGTTTTAGTGTCTTAACTTTCCACTTGATCTGTTCTCTCGGGTAGCAGTGGGGATAAGGCTCTCGCGTACAAAGCAATAATCAATGCAATTTAAAGGGGGCAACCGTTCGAATCACGTTCAAGGACGGTTGTTTTATATAATATTTAATAACTAAACTAAACTTAAACTTCAATTTCAAAACCACATGATAGACATCATTTTTGCATTTTCCCTTAGGTTTAATTGTTGTGTTTCTTTCTTTACGCATAGTTAGAGATGATGAAAGTTGTTGACTTTTTCTCTCTATTGTGTCGCAAATGGTTTTATTTGGGCTCAGAAAAGCATTGTTCTGGGTAAAAAAATGAGTTTACACTTGCTTATGATACAACACTCGGCCGCTTTGTAAGATCAATAAAAAAGTACTCAAATCTCAGTCGTAAATATAGAACTATACAATCTTATCTTATTAGACCCATGTTATTTATTGTTAAAGATTCAAGTGATACCAAAGGGACATTCAAACTCATCCGTAAAAATTAAACTAACAACGTCATGTCAAATGAAAAGACAAACACTAGTATTAAAAACATAACATAGCAAAATGAAGATTGAGCAGTACAAACCCCACTCAAAACTGGCGATGTGGGGAATAAGCAGATTGTGCTCCGCATGTGATAGATTGTTTTTTGTTTTTTGTTACGTCCATTATTAAAAACATACATCAGTTGTATATAATAGTTAACAATTTATTCGAATGCACCTGCCTGGATGTCACTTTTTGATTACTTAGGTCAATTATTACTGGATTTATTTGAAAAAAGTTCCATAAGTTATTTTGGTAATATATTAGAGGAATTTCATCTAGTGTCATCATTTAGAAGCAGCAATGATATTGTTTTATCTTTTTTTTTACTAAAACCAACTAATGTCAGATGAAACCTAAAATGATGGAATACGAAGAAAACATTATACAATTTAAATTTATATTTTCCACTTCTTATTGGTGTTTACTTGCTATGTGTATATCATTACAGCTAAAAATACAGGTTAAGAAAAACATCTAAGAAAACAAAAGAGGAGGTAGACATGATCAAACAAAAAAATAACGACAAAGACAGAACACAAGATGTTATAAATGTGTATAATTTAATCTAGGATGTAACACGTCTTCTGATTGGCTGAAAGTGTTTTGTCTATCAGCTCATAGACATAATTTTGTCATGTGACCGTGACTTCATCAACGTTTGTTCATGATTTACTCCTTAAAAATGGAATTTAGAATTAAATTATAAGAAATGACTGTAATATTTTTTTCTGTCTATTCGAAATAACCGCTTCGCAGGTTATTCAGTGTGCACCACATTTTTTATGTTATTTCTTCATAGACAGAAAAAATATTACAGTCATTCCTTAAGTATAGATTTCTAAAATCTGAGAAAAATCAAGCGCTGTAAGAAAACACTCTTTAATCGTTTAGTATCAATTGTTTTAATTTCAAAGGAAAACTAGACATTTACAAAATTTCAAATTCTACATGAAAATATTGTTTTGAATAAGGAAAATATTAGGTACATGGCAATGAGATTCAACATGATGATACACATATAGATATTTAGATTATAATTATTCAACAATATACAAATGTAACATGAAATGCTGACTATATGTTAGTGAACTTATCATAGACACAAGAATTCCATTTTTTTTTCTCCAGACGAGCGTTTTGTCTACATAAGACTAATCAGTGACGCTCGAAACAAAATATTTCATAGGCCTATGAAGTGGAAGAGCAATGAGGACCCAAAATTCCGAACGGTTTTGCCAAAAAGAGTTAAGGATTTCAGCTGTTTTCTTAACATTGCAGAAATGTTTTCTGGGCATTGGTTTTAAACATTTGAAAATCATCGTATATAGATATAAGTAGATGTGGACTGAGTGCCAATGAGACAACTCTCCATCCAAGTCAAAGTTTATAAAAGTAAACCATTATAGGTCAAAGTACGGTCTTCAACACTCACACCGAACAGCAAGCTATAAAGGGCCCCTAAAATTACTAGTATAAAACCATTCAAACGGGAAAACCATGTTCATATACTTTTAATATTTAAATGATGTTTTGAGAATATGAACATAACTTAAATATGTTATTTTTGAACTTTTTGTTAACATTTTCCTAACATTTAAACCAGAAGAAATGCGTTTTTAAATGTTTTTAAATTGTTTTTTGATTTGCATAAAATTATTTAATAGTATTTTACAAATACACATATCTAAACCTTAAGTCACAGCTTTAAGAATTTTTTCTTTAAATTAAGCATTGTTTGAAAATTCAGTAAAATTTGTTTAGCGTTTGAAAGGTACGACGGAAAAAATTTAGCGTCATTCTTAATTATATATTAATATTTAATCTTTGGTCCAATATTTCAAATCCCATTTTATAAAAAATGATTCAATATTTTAACTTCAAACTTTAAATCAATATTTAAATTTCAGTTAAACTTTGACTTAATATATAAACATATCAATCAATTGTTTTACGACATTTTTGCCATTCCTTCTACTTTTAAATAAAGGCAACAGTAGTATACCGCTATTCGAAATTCATAAATCGATTGAGAAAAAAACAAATTCGGGTTACAAACTAAAACTGAGGGAAACACATCAAATATAAGAGGAAAACAACGACACAACAGAAACTCAACACTAAAATGCAACACACACAGAAACGAACTATAATATAACAATGGCCATTTTTCTGACTTGGTACAGGACATTTTAAGAAAAAATGTCCTGTACCAATAAACTTGAGCATATCCAACTAAAACTCCATTACTTGACAGTTTGTCAATCACATGTATCGTAACGTGATTTTGTAGCATGAACATGACATATCAGCTTTTTACACGAAAATGGTCATTTATAGGTTTGAGAGTTGCCCTCTGCAAATTAGTTACGCTGACATTCTGGTTATAATCACTGTCAATTATGAAATATTTCAGTCAATATTTTATTCTCTATTGTGGTGCGACATTCACTTGGTTTTCAATTTCAACTTCAATAGTCAATTCTGAAAATAAAGTAAAGAATCACTGCACTGAAAGTTATGTTGATGCATGCAACTCTATCTTAAAAATTAAAGATAATACATTATATTGTTTGGGCATTATCACACTTTCGTTGAAACACACATAAGCAATGCTTCAGTAGTATAGAACATCTCTTAACTATATATCCCAGTAATATTGAAAATCCTGTATCGGTCTTTATCAGTAGAACAGAAAATCATCTGACAACATACTTCAATCGTTCAATCATCCATGATCACACCAAATCTCCATTCATGCCAAAAATTGAGATTAATGTTATGGTTATGTCCCAAACCATATTATAAGTATTCGGACCATACGTGTATGGTCATGACCCTATGGATATATACTCCTATGGCTCGACCATACGACTATGGTATGTGCAATTAATAAGATGTATGTTGAAACGTTAAACCTCTTTTACTGTAACTTTTATTAGGTATAACCTTCGAGTTGTCATTAAATTTTTTTTTGTAAAAATCATATTATGAGTTATTTTCAGTTATCATATGGCAATTAGTTTTTTAATAATTAATTAAAAAATTAGCTTTGAAGAAACATTTATACATGATCATTATCGATTTGTCACGACGATTGACCATTTTCAACTTGGGAAGATAACTAAAAGTTATTTAGAATAAATGAAAGCTTGAAAAGAAGTATACAAATTTAATTACGGATTAAAAAATTCAACAGGATAAAAATGCATTGACATTAGCAAAGGCAAGAAAACAGATACCCTAGATTCAGACAGTATGTCAAAGATCAAACATATTAGTTAGTAACTGGTGACGTTTTGAGTATGGAAAACGATTTGTGTGTTCTAGCAAAACAAATTTATTTTTTAGAAAATGTTCATTTATGATGCAATATCATCTGAAAAAGTATCTGTGTCCAAAACGTGTTTGTTTTGGTTTTTTACTTGCTGCCGTCGCATAATATATCCTTTTAAGATATGGTTTTGTATTTTGGATTTAACATACTTGTTTTATTTTTTAATTTGTGAAACAAACGCGTATGGTGAGTATACTCATATGGTCATGAAGATACGAATATGGCACAAATACTCAAATGGTCCGGAACAGTTACAGAACATTGTGTAATAGATAAACTGTTTTGGAAAAACTGGTCAACATAGTTGCAACATCACTAATTTGTTATCCGATGTGTAAGTGCCACTAATCAGGAAACATTTGATTGTATGATGCTACTTTCTAGGGTATTGATAAAGTCTTTTGCCCTGTTAATTTGCAGAGTGTGCTCTCTATCTTAATATGCATGCATTATTGTCTGAGTCTAGGGTCTCATGACTGGTGATGACATCATAAAATGAGACCTACAAACCAGTTTTATTTGAAATGAACAAAACGACGGATGTCACTAGTAAAGCTGTACAGTTCAATTGATTATTAAATTTGGAGACAATGTTGAACGCATCTATCCAATCGAACTTGAGATAAATGATACAACAGATACAGTTAAGTCTGCCTAATATCATGAATTTCATCTATAATTGACAATGAAAGAGAGCTTGTCTTGCGGAATTAAATACGTGTACGGAATGTCATATTTTAGCACTTCTAGATTTCATGGCAAACTCTGACAGGCAACAGTAAAACAACTGTATACTGTACATTAACTACCTCTAAGACGATATTAGACTAACTACATTTATATAAAATGTCAGTATTCAGGAGATCTGACAAATTACAGCATATTTACCTGATTTGATTTCATTTTGAACAAGTTTCACCTCCTCTTCAGAAAAAGTTTTGGCAACGATTTCGTTAAAGTGATCTATATACAGCCTGGCAGGTTTGTTATGTTCATCAAACCGTGTTAAAAGTTCAATTTGTATTTTACGTAAGTCATTAAAGCGTTTTTCGTCAACTTTAAATGTCTCAGAATGGAGTATTTCATTTCTTGTAAGTCGTATACGCTCAATGTCATCGCCAATAACTATGTCTGTCGACTGAATAGTTTGCCATGTGCCTCCCCATCCAGAACTTGGAATATGTTTATTAAGCTTCCTGAGCCCACTGTACAAGGATGTTATATCACAATCGCTTCTAAGGCGTACATTTTGTTTGTCTTGTTTTATTAGATCATATAAAACATCAGTAAGAATATTCAGCACAATCATCCCCATTTTGGCAAAGTAAAACTCCTCCTTGGTGAACTAAAAAGTAGAATAAAAAACGATGTAAAATTTAGATAAGGCAGATAATATGTTAATATATGGTTTCATTTAAAAGAAAAGATTAAAATAGAATTGATGCAATATTGAAAGCGTCGTCGAATAAAACGCCACATATTATCAACCCCGTCATGAAAAATAGAACCTCCAAAGTGAATTGAAAAAGTATCAAAATTTGAATAAAAAATATTATGGTGCGTTTAGAATTAACTACAGTTGGATAGAACTTGTTAAGAAGTATAATTGTCTACCTATAATTGTTGGTGATTTGAATGCTAAAACCAAATTTTTAGATGATGTTGTCATCCCTGATGACAGTCTTTTTCATATACTGGATGATTTTGAAGATGACAGTTTTGTGTCATATTTGTACGATTATCAAAATTTATGTGACAGTAATGTATCTTTAAAGCGATGTTCAAAAGATAGCCGTGTGCCTAATAACTATGGGTACAAACTTATAGATTTTTGTAAACGTAACAATTTGTATATTGGTAACAGTAGGTTACCAGGTAATGATTATATGATAGGCTTGACTACTTGTAATAGTGTATCTCTTATTGATTATTTATTACTGTCCTCCAGCATTTTTCCACTGATACAAGAATTCAATGTTCTCGAATTCAACTCACTTTTTTCTGATGTCCATTGTGGTCTATGTTTTTGTTTTTATGCCACAGTGAACATTTTTACTACACATTCCGATGATAATTGTAGTAGTCAGCGTGGTCATGCACGATGGGTCCCAGACGAGGAAAACCGGTTTATTGAGACACTCGTCAGTGACGTTACAAAATTAGACGAGATATCACTGCTTTTGTCGGAGGACAGTTATGATCCAAAAAGAATGAATCAATACAGTCGTTGACGAAATAGGTGATATTTTTAAAAGCACCGCTAATCGTGTATTTAAACCAAAGGGAAGATTCTATCCATCTGGATCTTCTAACCAACTTTGGTTTAATAAAATATGCAGGGATAAGCGAAAGGTTTTCCATAAAGCGAAAAACCGTTACAGTTTTAATAAAAATAAAGAGAACCGAGATGAGATGAAAAAGTCCGGGAAAGCTTACAGAACCGAAATGAATAAATGTTTTGAGAGTTTTCAACATGCACTAGAATCTGACATGCGTAAACTTTCGAAAAAAAATTCTGGTAAACTTTGGAAAATCTTGAAAATATTTGATAGAGGGGGGTCAGATAAAGATATCCAAATTACTATTGATCAATTATATGAGTATTTTAAGTCATTAAATAAGAGCGATGTTCAGATGATGATATTGATTATGAGGAATTAGCTAATAGTATAAAAAGTCAGGGTGTTATTGAAATTATAGATCAGGAAATTACAGAGGACGAAATACTGTTAGCTGTTAAAAAAATGTAATGGTAGAGCCCCAGGGGAAGATGAGATTGTCGACGAATATATAAAAAGCACGATGAAATAATTTTTTGCCTATTTACACTAAATTATTCAATTTAGTGTTTGATTCTGGAATCGTTCCAAATTCATGGCTTATTGGTATCATTTAGCCGTTATTTAAAAACAAGGGGATACAAATAATTTGGATAATTACCGAGCTATTTGTGTTACATCGAATTTAGGAAAAGTGTTCACCTCTATACTTAATTCAAGACTGAATGCTCTGTCAGACGAGATCGCGATTATAACTGATGCCCAGGGTGGTTTTCAAAAGAGGTATTCTGTCCAAGATAGTATGTTTGTCATGCATGCTTTAATTTCACTATATTTGAGTTCGGGAAAGAAATTATTTTGCGCTTTTGTAGATTTTAGAAAAGCTTTTGATACAGTGTGGAGGGTGGGACTATGGCAAAAAATATTAGAATATAACATTGGTGGGAAAATGTTTAAAGTAATACTGAGCATGTATACAGATATCAAGTCTTGTGATAAAAATGGAGAACTAAAACAGATTTTTTCCCGTGTGAGGTAGGTGTAAGACAGGGAGACAAAATGTCACCCTTTCTCTTTTCCATATACCTGAATGACTTGGAGTAATATCAATGACTTGGAGGAATATCTGGATGAAAACTCTGTATAGGGTCTAAAATTTATGAATGAAAAATTAACAGAGAATTTTGATATCAAGTTATTTATTCTTATGTACGCCGATGACACAATTATTTTTGCGTAGTCGGCAGAAGGATTACAAAAGGCTCTGGATGTGTTTGAGCAATATTTGTTTGAGTGGAAACGCACTGTTAATGTATCAAAAACAAAGATTGTGATTTTTTCAAAGAGAAAATTTAATAAGAATGTTACTTTTAAACTATGTAATGAAGTTATTGAAATTAAAGATTCATATGTTTATCTTAGTCTGCTGTTTAATTACAAAGGAAATTTCTTTCAAGCTCGGAAAAAATTGGTAGACCACGCTCAAAAAGCACTTTATGCTCTTTACAAGAAGATACAAAGTATCTCACTTCCGATTGATTTACAGTTAAAATTATTTGATGAATTGGTTGTTTCTATTTTGACCTATTCCTCGGAAATATGGGGGTTTGAAAATAAAAATAATAATGAAAAATTACATCTACAGTTTTGTAAGCGCAGTTTGGGGGTGCGATCATCTACGCCAAATCTTATGGTGTATGGGGAACTTGGAAGATTTCCACTTGAACTGCAGATCAAGTTAAAAATGGTATGTTTTTTGCACAAGCTAGCAACAAATGAATAAAAACTATCGGATACACTGTATAAGTTACTTTGGTACATGCATGAGCATGAAGGTTATAATTTCAAGTGGTTTAACTATGTAAAATCTGTGTTTCATGATTGTGGCTTTTGTGAACTATATAATATTCCGGGGCAAGTTGATTATAATTATATTAAATGTAATGCAAGGCAGCGTCTCCAAGACCAGTTTATTCAAAAATGGTTCTCTGATATAAACAACTCATCAAGGGGGTGGGGGGGGGGGGGGGGGGGGGTGGGGGGGGGGGTGGGGTGGAGTTATTTACACTTTAAAGTAGAGTTTTGCTTAGAACCATATCTGGTAAAATTGAGACGGGGTCATAGAGTAAACATATGTAAATTAAGGGTATGTAATACAAAGTTTCCCATCGAAACAGGAAGATGGAGAAATGTACCGCGAAATGAGAGAATTTGTCCACTTTGTAAAGCTGGTCTTGGGGATGTATAACCACTATATATGTAAATGTACCAATTGTGAAGTTAAGGATTTAAGGGGGAAGTTCATACCTCCACATTATTTAAAATATCCAAATGTAAAACAAGTACTAGGCATGCTTAAATATCGTAATAGTAATGTGCTGTCTAAACTGTCAATTTTTATTCAAAAGGTAGAAAAGATGCTTGTCTAATTTAAAACTGTAATAAACAAAGACTTATTTCTGGAGATGTTTAATTCAACAATGTATACTGTTTGTATTATGAACTATGTTGTAATTAATATTGTGTATAATATGCTCCTGTTACGCAGTCTTCTGCGGCTGCGATTTCTTTAATAAACTATGAAACTATGAAAATATGGAAAATTAAAAAAAAAAGACGAAAACGGTCCACAACAAGTCACACTAACAACAAAGAATGAAGTCATTGAACCCTCTACAAACATCTTGTTGGCATATCAAGTGCTTTCAAAAGGTTAATAGTTTCTGTTCTACTATTTCCAGATTTGGATTTCATTATGATAAGTAAAATGTCACACTATTGCAGTCATCAATCCGATAAAGACAATCTTTTTTTTTTGCTTCAACAAATAAACATTTACATGGTCATTAGACATTTTCGTGTGACAGCTTATATATAACACTCAAACATGTTGTAATGGCATCAATAAATTGTCAACGTGATCTTTGTAACCTTTTGGAATTTGGGTCCTTAGTGCTATTCAATTTTGACACATTCATAAGCCTGTTATCTTTGATAACTTTACAATTTTTCTCTTGAAACCATTTTGAAACTCTCTTCTGATCACATTGAACGGTACCATTTTACTCCACAAGTTTTACATTTCAACCTGATATTCAGATGAATGAAGACAACTTGATCGGAAACGCAATCGCTCAATTTGTTCTTATTGCTTGTACTTTTTTATATAAGGAACATTCCACTAAATAAATCAGATTGGAAGTTGACAGACAATTTATGATAACCCTAAATCGTGACTATTTTATGGCATAACATACCCCTCTCAATCTGCCAGGTCTAGTTGACTCTTCAGATACATTTGAACATGTTTGTGTACCACCTTTGAAAAAGCAGCGCACCTAAAAATATGAGTGTAGTGAAAAATGAAAATTAGTTTTTTAAACTTAAAATAGTTGGGTGTCTTCCTCCATCTTGGATTTTGAAATAGCAGCTAACAATTTGTCTAGATCTTTAATAAAATGTGCATATTTCGAGAGTAGTATGTAATTTATGTGTAGGATTTTTCATGTTAATTTGGAAAATTATGTGTTCTATCATATCTAGCTACGGCTCTATTTTACAAAAAAGAAAAAAAACGATTATTTTTGTTTGATGCATTTTTTCAACTTTGCCACAAAAGGTGAGAAACTCAGATATAAGGGAGATAACTGTGATAAAGAATTTTTGTACTAGAATGTTTTGTGAATTTACCTATTTTATTATGTAGCAAGAAAAACGAGTCCGGTGACCCCATTTTTATTTTTGTTTATCTGAAAGCACATTATTAGAGCTATCTTCTCATATTTTATCTTAAAATATGAGTGAGTATTTTTCTTTTTATCACACAAAATTGTGGTTTCCATGCATAATCTATACAAATTTGACAATTTTGCACAACCTGTATTGTGAAAAAAGGACAGTGGCCCATACTTTTTATTATATTTTTTGAAAAAGCATGCTATAAACTACATTTTAACCAATTATTTAAAAGATCTACGGATTCTGATTTATACCCCCATTGACCTTAATTACGATAATTTTGACAATTTTATTTGTTGAAACATTCCTGAAAATGTAACAGAATACGTCATTTTAGATACAAACAAGGCACTTTTAAAGTTATATTCCAGAACATTTGATTAATAGTAAAATATAACTAAGTTCTAAGCAGAAAGTTGATGAACCAGGGTTATGTCAAAGAACGTATCGTCCTTTTTCTAGAGATCGAAAGATACAAAGACCTTGATGATAACTATTCCGTATAAACAAATAATTTACGATGGTCTCGAGGTATAGATTGTAGGTACTGACATTGTTTATCATCTTATTTACTTGTTATAGTGTTCTTTTATTGTAAATTATTACTTTAACTGTTAAGTGTAATTTTGGTAATATCCATTTGACGTGGCTCGGTACTTATCCATCCGTCATTGTGTTTTTGTGCTATGGTAAATTTTTGTATTTTTTTCTTTCGTTTTTGCTATGTGCTTTGTTGACAGATTTGTTCGTTTTTACATTTATTACGCTTATAACATTATTTTATTAACACATCATTGTCAATAGAATAGAATTTTATGCGACTGTCACATAAGTGAGAGGTTTAGCTAGTTATAAAACCAGGTTTAATCCAATATTTTCTACAAAAGGAAATGCCTGTGCCAAGTCAGGAACATGACAATTGTTATCCATTCGTTTGATGTGTTTGAGCTTTTGATTTTGCAATTTGGTTAGGGACTTTCCGTTTTGAGTTTTCCTTAAATTTTGGTATTTTTGTTACTTTACTTTTTATATATAGTCCGGGAGAAGTACGAGTTTTAGTAAAAACACACATACACATCTCTGGTGAATAAAATTTGGCTTAAATTAAATTTGTTTTATCGGATTATGCTGTTTTTTCATCACAGACTGATGACTTATACATATATTAATCATTGAAAAAATGTCAGGTGTCTTCTATTCAGTAACCTTTCTTTGTAATAGGCAATTTCCCGAAAACGCTCAGTGTTGATTATATCTTGGAAGTTATTACTTTACTTCAAAAATATCAAAATACCTAACAACTTTGAATTTTTTGTTAGAATTTATGGTTATCAGCTAGTTCTGAAATATTACATATTTTTTCCTTTCAATATAAGGGTCTAACGCGTACCAAATGAAGTTAATTCATAAACAGTGTCGTGTCCAAAGAAATCAGTATCATAGTAAACAATCTAAAGACAGCTGATTAATAATCAAATGCAAGAGCACTATTTCCAAAGGACCATTGCTTTATATTGTTAAGAAAAGATTTTACTGGTAATTACTCAGATTAATCTATCTCATCCTTTATTAGTTGCTAGTTTTTAAAATGTTAAATACACGAGTTATGTATTCAATAGTTTGTAATAGTGTCTAACCTTAGTTGAAATTGTTTGGTTTCTACTGGTAGTTTCTGATTTGTCATTTCTTTTGGGAGTTTCTTCAGAACTCTGAAACAACTGGAAAGATATACAAAACATTTATCAGGATCATGGAGGTTTAATGGCCACAGCTAACTACAAGGGACATACCTCCTTGAAAATATGTCGTTAATTATGAAAATAAACATGCAACAATATACATGTACAGATCAAGTTTTTCACAAAATAAAAGAACAAGCGATTTTACAAAATATCTTAGTGTTGTAGCAATAATGTACACTAACTCTTATTTTTGTATAAACGATTAACAAAGTGAACATCTCTGATTGAAAAACATAAAAGATATTTTCCAATATTTTTGCCTTTTGAAGTTGTTTGGCTCCTTGGTCATGTTGGTATATTCTTCCTTTCTAATCTAAATGTTTATTAACAAAACAACCTTAGCTGCCATCTAATATTAAAACCAACACTCAAGTCTATCATTCAATGACTATATAAACAAAAGAGAATATTATATATCTTTTAAAGTTTCACCATGTTTTACTTACGCATAATGTTTTACTTTGTAGGTTTGCCCACTCATCTTTAACAACATGGGTATTTGCACATGTCTCACAGTAATACTCTGTAATATGTTCTTCAGTAAAACTATTTGCTCCAATAACAGATTGTGGTTTTACAAGGCCACACTCCCATTTTTTCTCAAATCTAACATTTGTCATCTTGAATCTTGTACCAATAATCTTGTTCATTTCATCTGTGACAAAGTCGGCAATATACTTGTACATACCCCTTTCTATATTAGTACTTTTCCCAAATTCTAAAACTTGTACCAGAATAAGATTTGGACATGTCATTATAAGTAATTTACTTAGTTTTGTTGTTTTCTTTAATTCAAAGACAGCGGTCCCTCTGAATAGAGCAATAACCCGTTTGGGGGTATTTTGTCTTTCATGTTGTTGAACGACACCCACTTCTGCAACTTCATACTTCCTGCACAGTGAAGCAATCACATGATTCATTAAATGTGGTGGCAAAAATCTAAACTTGAAACATAACCAAGAGGACTTTTGACAGTTATCTTCTGTCACATTAAACATCTTGTATATGTCACACTCAGGTTCGGCTTTAATTATACAAGGTACATAATAGCAAGATGTGTCTGTGGCAGCATTCCTCTCTGATGTTATTGGTCGTATTATTATATCGAATTTTTCCATAACGTTCAGGATATGTTCCTTGTGTTTGTACAAAATATTTTCTTCTTTTTGGAAAATATCCTCTAAAACTTCCTTATGCAACTTTCCTTTATGATAGAATTCTTTCCAGTGTTGTTGATTCTTGATGCTAATAGCTCGAAATTTCTTTGCTGTAACTATACATTTGAAGGCATCAGACAGCCATTGTGTATCTAAAATAATATAATCCGGAAGATCTTCAAAATAAACCACAGCTCTAATTTCATGATGAAATTTCAAATACAAAATAAGTTCTTCATCTCGCAAAGGCTCTGATACTTCAGTAGCGATATGCCTCAGTTCCTGAAAAGTTATAATTGGTAACTCCTTCTTCTTCTCTTGAAGACGTTTTTCCAGCTGAATAAATTTTAACGGATATTCTGTATTCCATGTTCTATTTGTTTTGGATAACTTTAAGATGTATTGTCGTATTTGCTGATATACACTGTCATCATCTTTTGTATTAGAAAGAAAAATTGTATCTCTGATATGTCCGCGCTCATCATCTGCCATGCTATCTGTATACCATAACAGTTTTTCTCTACATGCATCTTCAATCTGAAAAATGAAGTGTTTAAAACGAAACTTGAAGCATACTGTCAAAGCTCTCAAAATGTTGAAAATTATCTATTGATAACCATATTGTTATTTCATATCAATTTGATATAACTCAATTTTCAAAGTTTGACAGTCTTTGTAGACAATGTTTTAGTATTAAAAGATGGTCGAAAGATACCAGAGAGAAATTCAAAATCACAATTAACTGACAACGCCTGGCTAATAAAGAAAAAGTTCAACAGACAAATAATTGTTCACAAAACACAACATAGAAAACTAAAGAATGAGCAACATGAACCCCACTTAAAACTGGGGGTGATCTCAGGTGCTCCAAAATGCTAACCTGCTCCACATGTTATCTATTAAGGCTCATTCACTGAGAAATATACTAAATCTTCAAATCTTATGTAATTTGTCTTATTTTCTGTAGTTATAAAATAAAAAATAAAGTTTAAAGCCCACTAGAATTACAGAAAAAAAAAACAATATGAAAGTGTACTCATCTTTATGTGTACGTGTTCATTACCAAGTTTACCTCTTCTGTCTCTGATGTCACAGAATCTTTCCAAGTACCAACAATAACCACCGGTGGATCAAAATAATCTCTTATTCTCGTCTTGTCCTCATTTTCATTTTTCATCTCATCCATTCTAGTATAACAATGTATTGAATCCATCCAAAATCGAAATAAATCTACAAAGTATTGGTAATTGCAGAATGATTTTACTCAGCGTATACTAAAGTGCTAGGACATAAACGCATATTTCACAGTGGTATCATACTTTAACTTTGTTTAAACCTGTTTATTTACTTTTGACCTTAATTATTTATCCCTTATAATTTACTATGTATTTGCAAATGAGGTATCACAGATCAAATTTATTCGTTCATTGTGTGTTAATTTACGTTTTTTTATTGAGTTAAGCCTTCCAATTGATATTTTATAGTGTGTCTTTCTATGTTGTGATGTTATACTATTGTTTCAGAAAAAGGAGAAGGTTTGGTACTATTAAAACATTTAATCCCGCTGCAAATGTTTGCAGCTGACCTAAGTCTGGAATCTGATGTACAGTAGTTGTCGTCTGTTTATGTAGTTCATACGTGTTTCTCGTTTCTCGTTTTTATATAGATTAGACCGTTGGTTTTCCTGTTTACACTATAGTAATTTTTGAGGCCCTTTATAGCTTGCTGTTCGCTGTGAGCCAATGCTCCGTGTTGAAGGCCGTACCTTGACCTATAATGGTTTACTTTTATAAATTGTTACTTGGACGGAGAGATGTCTCATTGGCATTCATACCATGCAGGATAAAATTTTGACTGCCAGAAACGCGTAAGACTTATCAATGACACTCGAATCTTAAAAGTTAAAAAGTGGATCCCAATAGAATATGAATTTAAAGATCATTGAAGACCCGAAAAAAATTACGAAAGGTTTATCCAAATACAGCTTTAGCAATCTTGAAAAATACACTCTAAAACAAATACACACTAAAACAAGTTTGTTTTTCATTGGTTATGTTACCATGAATGTAATTGTAGGTAATTCATGTATGTATTTTGTTTGTATATTCTATAAAACCCACCCCTAATAAAAAAAAAACCCCACAAAACCAGCATGTCGTTAAAGATCATTAGCTTATGTTTCTTTGCAGATCAACAAACCTTTTCTCATTACGTAAATACTAAAGGCGTGTGTGTCCTTACGGTGTATGACTGGGTCTGCTTAAAGAAAAACTTTCAATTCACACATTATAATCATCCCTTCCCTATTTAACAATTTTGCGAACGCAACTGTTTATAGAAGAAATTTTTTTCTCTCAGTTCTCCCGTAAAGCTGGTATGCTCTTAAAATGAACGTTTGAAATCATGAATTATTTCCACTTTAAATCTGTGTTAATGGTGACAATAGATTTAAAGCACTGTTTCTTTCACGGTACTCTAAGCCTAGTTGATTTTCAGCACTTTAACTACATTAAGTAGGATTTCATCATTACCTTGTGCGCTTTTGTCGTCAGCCTCATTGAGTTTTGCGACTACAAGATAAATGGCATCTGGAGACAAAAAGGTTTGATGTGTGTGGTAAAATTCTTCGTCACCTGCAAAATCCCATAGCAGTAATGTGGCATACTTCTCTTTATCGTGTAGATCAACTTCAGATTGAAGCATGGCTTCAATATCTCTATATGCTTGTTCTATCAACAGTTGAGATGGCTGATGTTCAATGCATAGAGGATGAACAACCGGAATATTAGTAGTCACATGATCTGTATATTTTTCAGACCGCAGAGAGGCTGCTTCTGATTCCTGTGATTCCCTCATATATAAAATAGTTTCTGATGAGTTCTTCCTAACATTTTTGGCTGTTGCTTCTACTGATGCTTCCATTGGTCGTTTACGCTGGTTAATCAGTGTTTCCTCATACGGTTTTAACAGTCTTGCATGACGTTGAGTTTCTTCATTGTTGCCTATGATTAGATATTAAAACTACTGTTGGACACTGTATTCAAATATTCGTTCTAATATTGTGTTGAAGATAGAGATACATATAGTCTAAAGCACAATAATGTCCAAATGGCATTTTCAATCTTATTCGTAATGTATAATCCAATCAAATTGATTTAAACATGTGAAAGGTCATTGTATTGTCCACAAAGTGTATGCAGATCCGTCGTCTAGAGCAGTCGAAGAGCCCGAAAGGCTTTTTTTATATGTAGACGAAACACACGTCTGTCTTCCAAATTATAAGCCTGGCCAGGTATTTTAAATGAATTATTCTATAATTTGTAATGACAGAGGCGCGAGTCTAATACAGATTCGAAAAAAAGGAGAAAAGCGCAATGAACAAGGAACATTCTACAAAACACACATATAATTAGAGATTAATCAACATAAAGCCTTAACAAAAGCTAGGAGATTCACGTCAGTTACTTTGGAAGGTAATGTGTTCCTGTTTTACTAGTGTTACCTTGTATTTATAATGTCTGTTTTGTTCACGCATCGTTGTAAATGTAACGGAATTTGATAAGACTGTCGTACAAGTGAGAGGTTTAGCGCTATAAAACCAGGTTCAATCCACCATTTTCTACATTTGAAAATCCTGTACAAGTCAGGAATATGACAGTTGTTGTCCATTCGTTTGATGTGTTTTGTCATTTGATTTTGCCATGTGATTAGGGACTTTCCGATTGAATTTTCCTCGGAGTTCAGTATTTTTGTGATTTTACTTTTTGTGATATTCCTTGCAAGTAAACAACGATGTTGTAAAAATAGGGGAAACGGACAAAATTGAGATTACGGCAAATGAAACATATACATGGTCATTCGTGACATAGTTCTTAAATGCCCGTCAATCATATTATAAATTACAACTTTTCGGACAGAATTTATAAATAATGTCTTGTTGAACAATTTTTGTTTACTGTTTCTCAGTTTCTATTACAATAATCAAGATTTCAGAAAAAAACCCAGGTATTTAAACCAGATTTAACCCACATTTTTTTTCGAACATGCGTGTACCAAGCCTACAACATGCCAGTTGTTTCCCTTCCCTTGTGGTTGATACAGTTTAGTTGTGTCTGTTTTTATGGACTTCCCTTTTTGAATTTACCTTGGAGTTTGGTATTTTAGTTAAATAAAGACAATAATAGTATACCGCTGTTCAATCGATTAAGCGAAAACAAATCCAGGTCACAAACCAAAACCGAGGGAAACACATAAACTGTAAGTGGAAACAACAGACCAACAGAAAAACTGAACTGCTACAAAAACAAACGCCAAGATACATAGAAATGGACTATTTCATAACAACTGCCATGCCATATTCCTGATTTGGTACAGGACATTTTGAGAAAAATGGTTGGTTAAACCTGGTTTTATGGCTAGTTAATATATTTCTTTAATAATCAAATTCAATATCTTCAATATTGCATTTCTGTAAATGTAGACAATAAAGCTTCCCATGAGAACTCATTTTACGGCCACTTTTACCATGTTTACCATGATGTTTCCTAAACAATTATATTCTAGAATGGACAGTTCATATGCACTACTATTTTTTTAAAGCTCAAAACATAGCACTGTACGGTATATTTTTAACATTTATATGGCCCGAACTTTAAAGAGTTTAAACTGATACTCAAACTATGTACTACCCATCTCTTCACTTTGGGTCTTTCTCAGAATTTAATTTTGTCGCTATCTATGTGTATTTATACTGGTTACATTCCCAATATATGTCTCTGTGAGATGAAACATAGAGATCATATCTTGGAACCAGTATGTAAAAAAATAAAATATCTATGAATATTATATATCTCCCCGAAAGAGGCGTGGTTTATTTAACAGCTGTATTTTCAAAATGTAACAATGGAAAAATAATGTGATTTCTACTACATGCATACATCATGTTCTTTTGTTCATCATTATTGCTTCTAACCATTTTGTCCAAATTTTTTTTATCACAGTTTTAAAAATACTAGCCAAAATGGGTAAACATTGCATTTTAAGGGCAATTACTCCATTCAGGACATTGACATGCTGAAAAAAATAAGTAAGAGGCTTCCTATTTCCAAGGAGCATTTCCAAACTACGTATAATTAAGGTTATACATATAAAAAGATGTTATTTGGAAAAAAAAATGTTCCCGAAATTTAAGTCCAGGTATTGCTGATGACCCATGGACCTCTAAATCCATAGGTATGTTTTCACCCCATGGGTCAAAGATAGTGTCGATGGCTAAAAAATGACAAAAAAACAGGTTAATATTAAAATGTATACTATCAGCGAAATGGACGCCACCAGCATACATAAATTCAATAGAAACAAATTATGATCCACATGATTTACAGAAACTTTATTAGAAATTCAATTTGAAATGGTTCAAATCTTTGCATGTGTAAAAAAAAGGAAACAGTTGTGTTAAGATATAAATACCTTACCGTATAATTTATACCATTCACCATCATCATAATTTGCTTTACATCTTATTCTATGAATTTCGATCCCATTTGTACTGGTCAACTCTCTGTTGTGTATTTCTTCTCCAAACAATCGTTTAAGTAATGAAGTTTTCCCGGCTCCCTTCTTTCCGACAATGACTAATCGAATATCCCTCTTTCTCTCAGAGCCATGCTCTAGTAATTTGAGGTACAAAGGAACAGATTTTTTGTCGGACATCAATTTGATTTCAATCGGAACTTTGTCATCTAAAAAAATAATATGATGTTAAATAGAAATTAGCTCTTATAGAAGAATGTTAACATGGTTTACATAATCGAAAAATGAAGACAAATGTTTATAAAATAGGAAGTTGAACACTGAAAGATACACTATAAAATACGAATTGAAATAGCTTAACTCAATCAAAAGACATACTAACACATAGTGAACATACACTGATCGAACAAATTTGTTGTATGACACAATGTAAATACAAATTCAATAAAATGAGGGGTGAGATCAATTTCAGAAAGACAATCATAAACTTGAACAAAATTCCGCCAAATAGAATAATGTACTACACAGGTAAATGAAAATAATTTTGTTGTGAGGTATACAGTATAAATAAAGAACTTAATGTATATTTTAAAGATAAATTATACATAATTTTTAGTAAGTTAGTAAATTAAACACAAATATATCATTCCTCAGTAAAGGACCTAAATATCGTCCCCCGTCAATTATTAATTGGAATGAGTGTCGTAATATCATCCACGACTCACTCCATACTTACTGTTTGAAATGGATAAAACGGGAAAAAGCTGACAAAAAATCTTTGGACTCTTTTTTTAAATCAGTAATGAACATAGTTGATATACGTATTCAACATTTTAAAGAACATTTTACTCTTAACAATAACCACAATAAACCTATTTCTCGTATCAAACATAAACTAAAAGAACTAGCCAAGGAATTTGTTTTTGTCCCGGCCGATAAAGCTGCTAATAATATTATTATTGTTTGACGTAAATTTACATTGAGGTTCTGAAAAAAGAAATCACCAATTCACCAACATTCCAACTGACTCCATTTTCAGAAAACGACATCTGTAACAAACATAAACTTTTAGCTACCGCTTTACAAGCAGAACCAAATACAATGAAAGTCCCAACTATGTATTGGCTTCCGAAGCTACACAAAACACCTTACAAATATAGATTCATTTCGTCTTCAAGCCATTGTTCCACTACTAAATTGTCTATTCTTCTTACCAGTACACTTGGTACAATCAAAAACCTGATAATAAATTGTTCAAATAAGGCCTTCGAAAATAGTGGAATTAATTACTTTTGGAGTGTCAAGAACTCGTTGGAAGTACTTGATAAATTGCATGCATATCTTGGTGATTTTGAATCTGTTCAAAGTTTTGATTTTTCTACCCTATATACCACATTGCCTCACATTCTCATTAAGAAAAAATTCATACACCTAATCAAATGGGCATTTAAAAAGTCAGAATGTGAATATATATGTTCAAACTCTTTTAGGTCATTTTTTAGTAGCAATAAACAAAAAAACTATGTCAATTGGACATGCTTTGATACTATATATACCCTTGAATTTTTACTAGATAACATTTTTGTTCGCTTTGGAGATTCCGTATATCGTCAGGTTATCGGAATTCCAATGGGGACTAACTGTGCACCACTTATTGCGGACCTTTTTTTGTATTGCTATGAGTTACAATTTATGACAAAAATCAGTAAAGACCCATCGAAACAACATCTGATACACAAATTTAATAATACTTTTAGATATTTGGATGATATTTTGGCTCTCAATAATGACGACTTCAGTATGTATACTAAAGAAATTTATCCTGTTGAACTTACTTTAAATAAAGCTAATACTAACAATGACCACTGCCCTTTCCTCGATCTTGATATCTATATCATTAACGGAAAGCTTAATACTAAAATATATGATAAAAGAGATGATTTTTCATTTCCTATCGTTAATTATCCATTTTCAGATGGTGACGTTCCCTTGTCACCAACTTACGGTGTTTATATATCTCAACTTGTACGATTCGCTCGTGTATGTAACAATGTTTTAGATTTTAACGAGAGAAATTTATGTATTACTGAAAAATTATTACACCAGGGTTTTCGATATCACAAACTAGTCAAAACATTTACTAAATTTTATCATCGGTATAAGGACATCATTCGTAAATATAGCTCAACATGCAGTCTTCTTATACGTTCAGGTATTTCACATCCAATTTTTTATGGAAATATTCTTTATAAAGCACAAAAATGTCAGTATTCACCTCTGAAACTAACAAAACCTTTAAATAGACTTATTAAGAAGGGATATAGTTACGATACTGTTGTCAGGTCATTAAAGATTGCATATTTTGGCGTTAATATTGATTCACTTATGGGGTCTTTGCATCGGCACTAGACACATTTGTTTAAGGGCCAGTTGTTGGCATGACGCGGGTTATGTTCTTCTCATATATGTTATGATGGTATGATACTAAACCCCTAACGGGAAGGATTGTGCCTGATATTCATATGATGAAGACATAATCTTTCAATCAGTTTAATTGAAGTCTGGAGCTGGCATGTCAGTTAACTGCTAGTAGTCTGTTGTTATTTATGTATTATTGTCATTTTGTTTATTTTCTTTGGTTACATCTTCTGACATCAGACTCGGACTTCTCTTGAACTGAATTTTAATGTGCGTATTGTTATGCGTTTACTTTTCTACATTGGCTAGAGGTATAGGGGGAGGGTTGAGATCTCATAAACATGTTTAACCCCGCCGCATTTTTGCGCCTGTCCCAAGTCAGGAGCCTCTAGCCTTTGTTAGTCTTGTATTATTTTTAATTTTAGTTTCTTGTGTACAATTTGGAGTTTAGTATGGCGTTCATTATCACTGAACTAGTATGTATATTTGTTTAGGGGCCAGCTGAAGGACGCCTCCGGGTGCGGGAATTTCTCGCTGCATTGAAGACCTGTTGGTGGCCTTCTGCTGTTGTCTGTTCTGTGGTCGGGTTGTTGTCTCTTTGACACATTCCCCATTTCCATTCTCAATTTTATGTTAAACCAAAAAAATCTCAATATTTCAACCTTCAACTTTTGGCGTGGATTGCAACTGTCTTGATGGTGTTGGGTTGATATCTTCAGCCAGTGTTGGCATTACTGTCTAAAACGGAAAATTCAAATAGTTTGATTGATATATCTAAGATAAAGCGCTGCGGATACAATTTTTAAATATTTGTAAAAAATTGTTTTTCATTTCCAAGAAACAGATTTAAACAAAAGGCATTTAAAGGTTGAAATGAATATATAAACAAGTTAGTCTGAAAATACACTATTGAACAGAATCAGAAATTAGTGCTCCAACGGTCTGTTTTTTTTATTTTTCACTTCTTCAACAAAAACAAAATGCTCATGGCAACGTATGTCTTTTTAGGAAAAACTCTTTCATTCAGAGGAGAACACCAATAAATTTTCAAATGCCAAAACTAATATTCAAGATTACAATTTGAATCTTCATAACTTTGTGCTAGCATTAGCTTTTCATCATGTTATTCAATTCTATTGGAGTATACGAAATACTGTACACATATAAAATATAACTGTTAGTAATGTATGACATTCAGAAACGTAATGTTATCATAGCTTAAGACAAACAAACTAAGATAAAATGAGATAAATGAATATAGCCAATAGTCCAAGTACTAACACAAAATCTTTTGGGCAGTGGGTAGTTTGTTTTACATTAAAAAGTATTTCTATGAGTAAAAATCATTGATGTATAATGTTTATAACTCATTGTTCTCATAAACTACACTCAGTTTGTAAACGGCTAAGATTAAGAGCAGAAAACAATGTCTTGTCAAGCTGCATGATGTAATTGCAATACCACGAAAATCAGTTGGAATAATTACAATGTATCGAGGATAAGCAAGTATGTACCTGTAAATACTCCATCACTTCACGATACCCGTGATTCCCTGCTAAATCATATGGTGTTTCACCCTGAAATAAGACAAATAAATAGATTGAAGATTCCTTTTATCTGTCAAAATGCTTTTTAACATCAGTTATAACATAAACGGTACAATTTTTTTCTGCACCAGATGCGCATTTCGACAATCAATGTCCCTTCAGTGATACCCTAGGCCAAAATATTTAAAAATCCAAAGCTTATTAGAAATATGAAGAGCTACTCGTCGCTAGGTAAACCCAATTTGGGACAAAACAATCTATGTTTTACGAAGGACAAGCTTAAAATACAATACAGTTATCTCCTAATTAAGCATCGATTTAAACTTATCAAGGACACAAAGTTGGTTCACCAGACGCGCGTGTGGACACACCCTTAGCGCTCACAACAAAGCAGTTATAATTTTTTGTAGACGAAACACACGTCTGGCAAAAATGCAAAATCTCAATCCTGGGTATCTATGATGAGTTTATTTGTATATGATTTGAGAATGGTACGTATAAAGTAAAATCACAAAAATACTGAACTCAGAGGAAAATTCAAAACGGAAAGTTCCTAATCAAATGGCAAAATCAAAAGCTCAAACACATCAAACGAATGGATAACAACTGTCATATTCCTGACTTGGTACAGGCATTTTCTTATGTAGAAAATGGTGGATTGAACCTGGTTTTATAGCTAGCTAAGCCTTTCACTTGTATGACAGTCGCATCAAATTCCATTATATTGACAACGATGCGTGAACAAAACAAACAGACATAATAGGTAAAAATGTCAAAAATACAGCAGTCAACATTGTGTTATAATCTTAATCACTAAAAAAACATACAAATATGTAACAAAGAAGCACAAAATGCCATATAGACCAAGCATATTAGCAAAAATTAAAGACAAGAATACACAAATTTACCATAGTACAATAACACAATGACGGGATATATTTGTTACTGTAATTGGTTCAATTTTGTTATGTGTTTAATTTTCTATTTTTTCTGCAATGCTGTAGTCGGTTTCTCTTCGACTAATGCCTAATTTCCTTTTTTGATTCTCCGCTTATTGTGTTTTAAATGAAGCACATACGATATACAATGTATAAGATCAAGTGTTACCCTTGTTGTCTTAATCGAGGGATTCATTCCTTCATGTTCTATCAACCATTTGGTCATTGGTAGATCTCCCGTCCAAGCAGAAAAATGTAACGCTGAATTACCAGTAATCTGTAATAAGATACCATTTTTTTTTATCTGCATCCGATTTCATCTGAGCAGATGCAAACCCACTGAAGCTAGTTTTTTTTTAGCGAAATAATGCTTGGAGGGTTGTGTTTATGTCTTTTTAAATTTTAGCATTTGTATCCTGGAGGCGTCCTTTTAGCTGATAGTAGACAATATTGTTGAGGAGACAACTGAAGCCCGCATCCGGTTGCTGCACCTTCACGCTGCGTTGAAGAATCATACATGGACTTGTGCTTTTTCTACTCTTTTGTTAGGTTTTTGTGTCTTTGACACATAACCCGTTTCTAGTCTCTATTCTATTGATTTGTTTTGCGTATTGTATATAATATGAATATTTTGATATTTACATGCTAAATAGTGTGGTAAAATTATATTATCTGAACTGTCTGAACAATAGTTAACTTACTGCAGTGAATAAATCTGACAATTGATTAAAAGAGTGAAATTTACTTGATAGTTTATTGCTTCTTTATCTGTTTAGATCGACATGGCGGGTTTAGATCAAGATTGGTTTAATTGTAGCACTGAGTTCGAACAAATTTCAAAACGGTCAAAATTAACAACATACTTATACTGTTGATTCATAATATATCAATGTTCACAAAACAAAACTGTATCAAAGAAACGAAACGTGAAAAGGTTGTATGCTCTGATTAACACGATGTGACGAGTATGATAAAATACTACTGTATAGTTATATCATGTATATCATGTATATTTCTAAAATATATTATGGATCTATATTTCTACAAGATGTTAATCATTTATATTTCTGCAAGACGTTATTTATTTATATTTAAAAAGATGTTATTTATTATGTTTCTGATAGATTTTATTTATTTATGGTTCTGATAGACGTTATTCATTTATATTTGAAAAAGATGTTATTTATTATGTTTCTGATAGATTTTATTTATTTATGGTTCTGATAGACGTTATTCATTTATATTTGAAAAAGATGTTATTCCTTTATATTTCTAGATGAAGTTATGCATTTATATTTCTAAAAGATGTTACCTTATTACATTCCTAGAAGATGATTTTCATTTATATTTCTAGTAGATGTTATTCATTTGTATTTCTAGAAAAAGTATTATTCATTGATATTTCTTAAAGATGTTTTTCATTTCCATTAATGTTTAAAAAATATTTTTTCCATTTATTTTTTTAGAAAATGTTATTCATTTACTCCTCTACATTTTATCAGTACAAAGAAAGATCTTACTATCGAGATAGAAACAATTTCAACAAGTTATAAACAAGTTAATTTCGATATTAACAAAACAACTAGAAGTAGAATGCAAACCCTTTTCATATAATTCCAACAACTACTTATTGATCATTAAAACTATCTCATAAATAACACAATTTTGTATTGATTAATTAAGAAAATCTTATCTGTAGCTGAGACTTACAGTATAGGAATAATATCTTGAATTTAAGTAGGGATACTATATATGAATATTTTTAAAAACTTCATACATTTGTGGCCTCTTTATTACATTTTCTTTCAATTAATAGTTGTACAACCTCCAAGTGTCCTGATAATGCAGCTAACAGTAATGCTGAAAATCCATTTATCTGGAATAAAACACAAAAAACGTGAAATCAACACTTTAAAAATTGTATGTGTTAGAAGCGCATTTCTTGATTTAACAACATCAGTAGCACTCAAAGCCGAAAAATGTTAAAAAAAACCGCAACAGTTTAAAAGCTACAGGACCAAAAAAAAACTTAAATTAGAAACCATATCCATCCATAGTGAGCTTTTCGTGAGGGAGTAGACACCTTGGTGTCTTGTTAATTGTTGAATTTATAAACGGACAATTTAGGAAAGGTTTATTAAGATCATTTCAGTATCGAAGTATTTCAACTGACATTAAAACAGACATAGACATAGACATAGAAATTAGCAATTTAATATATCAGAGGAATGTGTGGTAAAAAAAAGAAATACATATTTCCTAATTCATATTCTCTATAGACAAGAAATGAACAATATGTTTTTGATATATGTCAGAACGTAAATTGGAACTGTCGTTAATAAAATAATGATCAGATACAGGGTAGGGGTACTAATGTAATTGTATTAAATACGTTGAGACGAGCAAATCAAGGTAACAGTAGTGTACCATGTTCTAATGATTTCCTACTTGATATAATTTGAAAAGTTTACGTTACTACATGTATTGGAAATGGCTGATTAACAACCATTTGTGTATATTATTTGTTGAATTCGTTTATAGATATTCATTGATACAATAATCATTTCAAAGAAAGGATAAAACAAAGTGCATGTTCTTATTTTAAACACTAAGGATTTTTTCACCGCCACGATGGTAAAAATGACCCCAGACATATTTGTCAAAGCGACTGAACAATGAGGCTGACGATAAAAAAGGGGCATTAAAACTAAATGGTTACAAGATAGCAAAAAGCAGAAAAGACAGCACCACAACAAAACCCTTAAAGGCTGAACCCTGCCAAACAATGGGAGACCAGGCCTTGCGGTCATAAATATTTCGAGCACAATAATTGTACTCAGACTCAGAAATCAACCAATCAACCAATCAAAATACTGGATTTGATGTTTCGAGCACATAATTTGTTCTCCGAGTACTGAGGAATGTTTTATGACCGAGGGCCCAGGTACTACGATTTGAAATTTTTGATTTTGAAATACTCCTCAATTTCTCACATCAACATCAAAAGTATTAGCCAATTATTTTAATGAAACTTTCAAACCACTGGTTCGATGGTAATTCTAGTGGACGTTTTTTCTCCTCGAAAACATATCCAGTAAAGAAGTTAACACTTCTACACTGAAATATCTTTTCCTAGATATTAATCAAAAATCGTAGATTGTTAGACGTGTTGAGCAAAACGTTTTTCAAAACTTGGTTTTCAATACTCTTTAACTTGATGCATGTTATGACCTTCCAACTATTTATACACGAGCGTCGCTGAAGAGTTTTACGTATTCGAAACTTCGTTGGTGAGTTTTAGTAAGGTTATATAAATGTAAAAAAAACCAACTGCATAGAACAAGTATTATGTATATTAACAAGGTGTTTAACTATAATTTTAGTTTTTAATTTCAGGTTTAAATTTGATGTTTATGAATTGTTCAATTATTCAAACCATAAAGGATTGCTACCCACAGGCATATATATTCTTCATATATACGACAATATTTAACAGAGACTCAAATCTCGTAAATCGATTATGTAGAGAAACAAATCAAGGTTTCAAAAACACAAAACCCGAGGAATCGCATGAATTGCAAAGGAGCTAGACCAGATTTTTCGACTGGGTAAGCATCCCCAGCTATATTTGTGCAACAACCGCAAAGGGGATTTCCATTGAGTCAGCATGTTACAATCTGTAATAGAGCACGCTCGGTAAAATTAGAGATCATACAACTTTACTTGAATCTAAAGATGGCAGACCGCTTAAACTTGTCGACAGCGAGCTGCGACACCGATACGTGATATCGGTCAAACAATTCACGATGGTGACATTACAAATAATATAGGTTTCGAATTCACTTGTTTTTCTACTCAGTTAGAGTATGTCAATCAGGCCTGTACAGTGTGAACAAACAACGCGTAACGTATTAAATGATATACTTAGATACCATTTGATGAATAATTTGTTTTTTATATGGCGAACAACCTGTTTTTAAACATGCTTATTAAAAAGTCTTATCTGGAAGGAAAGCGCACAAGTCATACAAAAAAATAATAAAAGCTTTAGTGATTTTCAACGATACGTTTTTGTATTTTATAAAATGTTTATTACAAGTTAATGTTTCTACCCAAAAAATCGACCTTTAAACATTTTTGATTTGACCACCGCTGAAAAGTCACGTGTTGACGATTGTCACGTCTGTGTTACAAAACTATATTTGAATTGAATTTTTATATTCAATCTGAAAATTGATTAATAAGCGACTAAAAATGTAATTTACTATGCCCGACGCTCGAACAAAGAAAGTGTTGTTTAAAATAGAATTAAAACGCTTGTAGAATAATTGGATTTTAAGGAAATCAAAATTAAAACTATCTTGTTCAGAACTCTGTGATGCACAAATCTAACAAGCAGTTTTTCTGATGACTGATACGCTTGTATGTTGATCCTCCTATGAGAAATGTAATCAGAGTGCAATAAATAATATCTAACATACATTTTGTGTATCTATGTTACTTCCGTGGTCAAGTAAATGTCGGATCACCTCCAAGTGTCCATACCATGACGCCCACATACATGCAGTTGTTCCTTTAACCTGTTAAAATACATATGACATCAAAGCCTGTATCATAAACTTGACGATAATGTGTTTTACAATCACAAAATAAATCGTAATTCAAATTAACTTTTCGATTGATATATACCGTCTTCGTGTTCAGTGAAATAGTGTGATGATAATGATGATGATGATGATGATGATGATGATGATGATGATGATGATGATGATGATGATGATGATGAGACGACGACGACGACGACGACGACGATGATGATTTTGATGATGATGATGATGATGATGATGATGATGATGATGATGACGACGACGACGACGATGATGATGATGATGATGATGATGATGATGATGATGATGATGATGATGATGATGATGATGATGATGATGATGATGATGATGATGATGATGATGATGATGATGATGATGATGATGATGATGATGATGATGATGATGATGATGATGATGATGATGATGATGATGATGATGACGACGACGACGACGACGACGATGATAATGACGATGATAATGATGATGATGATGATGATGATGATGATGATGATGATGATGATGATGAGGAGGAGGAGGAGGAGGAGGAGGAGGAGGAGGAGGAGGAGGAGGAGGAGGAGGATGCATATTCATTTCAAGAAACATTCTTTTCTGTTGTTGTTCTGTGTTAACACAGTCATAGTACAACATTGTTGTGTTAAAGTAAGTGGGCTCACCACGTGAATCAGACGTCAATGTTTATATAACTCATTTAGTTTTCAGAAAGTTACATTGAGGTAAATAATTTACTGATGTTTACCAGTCAATCCAGTCCTTAATCACCCTATTACGTGCCATTAAATGAAAGGATTTTTTGTAAAAATACGTCGTTACTGTTAACAAATAAGTTCAGGAGAGTCAGATATTTCTTGATATGTGTCTAAATAAGTTATGAAATGCATATATAGTCAAGTAAAATAAATCAATACAAGTATTGCGATCTACATATAGTACGTAAAACTTGTATATTTGAATTTAAGTATTTATGGTACACTGACTTACAGTTTTATATTCAATGTCGGCTCCATTTTGTAAAGATAATTTTACGTCTTCGATCTTTCCGTCCTGTGCAGCTTTAATAAGTTTCTATAAATAAACAAAATATTTAATGACAGTATACAGAATGTGATATCATTTTTTAAATGATACATATATAATTATGGCATGTTTGCTGTTATTACTGATTTAATCCATAAGCAAGCATGACATGTGTTCCCAAAAACCAGATAACCCTGACATTATTCTGTACATAAATTCCGTACCACAATGTGTTTCCATAACCTTGACATTACACCCGAAAGCAAAACAATATATAATATAACTTCATTGCCAAAATTTACATTAGGCATTTTTTCAAACGATTAAAACTTTCATTTGTGATTAAAACATATAACACTATTGTGCAAGTATTAGGAAATATCCTGTAAATCGTACCAATGTTAACAAACCTTGTTAATGAATACGATATTGGAGTTTGTTTTATTTTTAGAGGCGATCAACCATGTTTTGTTAAAATTCCTGCGACTTTGAAACAAAAATTCAAACGGTCAAATCTCTTCATTTTACACATCTATCATAGTCTCTATGAAACCTCAAATATAACACTTAGAGAAAATATAAAAATTGTGCTGGAGTCAGAAATCAATGTGTCTTCCGTTTAACTTGGCACCTTTCCATTTTTTTTCAAATAGTTTACAATGTCTTGAGTTGTATGACACAAGTCTTTTTGGTCGTCTGCAATTTTATACACTGTAATGCATATATTTTCGATTGTTTTGGTTGAATATATTTTTATCTTTTCAACAAAATTATATATTTTTTATTTTGTTTTTAAACTTATTTTGATCCTTTTTAACCCTTTATGCTTAATAGAGCATTACAAATTGAATAAAAACCATACCGTATAGGCCAAATCCTACAAAAATTAAACAATTAAAACAAAGAGAAACCAAATGGCCTGATGTTTTAAAACAACAACACAAATATGACAGATATCAACCAACGAAAACCATGGAATTGCAGGATTCTCACTGAAGGAAGATATAAACATAATACATCCATACTTATCAATTGTCAAATGCCATTGTTTATGGTTTCTTCTATTTTTATGGTTGCAGAATTTTTTAATAAGCAAAGCTGCGTTCGAAATCAAAGACGCTACGTATGGCTAAATAAATTGCAACTACTGAACGTATAGCTAACCTTACTGCAAAATATATCTAGATACCGACAACAAATCATGCTATCTTGAATTTTCAGATCAAAATAATACCATTCACGTCATAATAGGTTTAGAATAGAACGTAACATGACCAATCAGATCTATAACACAAAACCTTACCTTATTCCAATCTTCCATTATATTCTGCAAACAGGAGAAGCATTTATTTTGTATTTTTTATCCTGAAATTTTAAGAAATTGTAATAATTACTTTACCATTTGATACGCATGACACAGTAATATATTGAATTGATTTGGACTTCTGCTAAGAAATTCGAAATGAGTAAATAGTGTGACTTTTAATGTTTTGTATTGTTGTTATTGGAACCACCAACGACGATCAATTTATCATACAGATCCATATTTTGTCTAAAAATAAATGAGGATAGTTTTCATAGGAATTACTATACATAATTCCTCAAAAAGAAAATTCATAATGGCAGTATGTTGTCTCAGTGGCGATCATACCACATCTCCTTATATTTGTTGTGGTTATAAAGAAGATGGAATCAGATTATCTTAGGCGACATTGTTTTATCTTTATAATGAAAAGGTGACAATCATTATAGGATCTCTATTAATCATGTTAATCACATACCTTTGTGTGAAACGATCATGTAGTTTCAGAAACATAAAATCAAACATTAATTTACGATTGATTCGGTGTAATCAATGTCTAAACTTTTGTGACCTTATGAATCCTCTTCGACATTGTGAAGTTTCGTGCCCGAGGGTATAACCAGGTCAGTAGTCAACACTTCGGTGTTGACATAAATATTAATTATATGGTTATTTTTATAAAATTAACTGTTTTCAAAAGTATGATATATTTGAAATACTAATGATTTTCTTATCCCAGGCATAGAATACCTTAGCCGTATTTGGCACACCTTTTTGCAATTTTGGGTCCTCAATGCTCTTCAACTTTATACTTGTTTTGCTTTCTAACTATTTTGATCTGAGCGTCACTGTTGAGTGTAATATAGACGAAACGCGCGTCTGACGTATTAAATTATAAGCCTGGTACCTTTGTTAACTATTCATAACATTTTACAGTTTAGTTTGGGAGAAAATTAAAAATATACAATAATTTATAATGAAAAATCCAAATAAAATATTTCCTCAGTTGGACCTGTGTTTAAGGACTTTCCAAACAGTAGTGTTCAAAGTATGTTTTTACAAATAAATTTGGAAATCTCAAAAGTGTATCGCCAAAAGATCGCCAATAAAAATAACCTTTAAAGAATAGTTAACAAAGCAATAATACTTACATGTGTTACATTTGTAATAATCTATACACTGTTTCATCAATTGTAATTTTTATCATAATAATTTAAGGGCAGTATTTCAAAAAGGAAGCATTAATTGGTTTTTAGTAGGGATGTCAAAAGATGTGACTTTAATACTCGAGTACTCATTCATGATTCTCGAGAGTACTCGAGTACTCGGATAAATCTTTTAAGTATTGTGAATTAAAAGTATCGACTTTTGTTTGGAGGCGGTATTTTTGTTATTGCCTTTCATAAACTAAATTATAATATGATGACATCGCTTCACATCTTAACGAAAGTCATACGTATTATTTCAGACCTCAAACTGTAGGGCTGCAACATATAAATTGATCCTTGGTTATGTGTATCGCTCTTCCCTTTTTTTTCAATTGAACAAGATATAGAATTACTGGATCACCGTTTCTAAATATAACCTTTGTTTAAACATATGTATTTATAGTGGATTGTGAAACAAGTTATTACAACTTATATTAATCCCTTTCCAATTTGCGGGTGCGAGTGCCGCCTTGTAGCAGCATAAGCCTGTTCTTTTTCGAAATCTACAAGTGTGTCTTTTTTTTTGTGTGCAAGAGATATGGCTCTCTCTTAACACGGGTCAGCCATTTATCGTCCCCTTCAAACGGACTATTATCGTTTCTCAAGACCCTACTCGCAAATGGTATCAAGGGAGAGCCGAAAATTCAGTTCCTGAAATTTTCTCCACCGGAACGGGGATCGAACCAGGAACCTTTGTGTTAGTAGTCCGATGCGCTAACCACTACAACAAGGCTCTCCTTTCATGATCATAGCAATTATTTTTGATTGTTCCTTTAATAAATCAGAACCTGCCAATACAATCATTCAATATGTTAATAAAGTCCGACTTAAGGTGGCTCGGGCTTCTTAATTAAAATCAATAGAATTTTTTAATAATTTATCAAAATGAGTTTTCATCATGCTTTTTTCAAAAATATTATTAAAAGTATGAGTCACCAGACTTTTTTTCACGCTACAAGTTGAGCAAAATTGTCAGATTTTGTATAGATTATGCATGGAAAATCTAATTTTGTGTGATAAAAAGAAAACTACACAATAGAATTTTAAGATAAAATGTGAGAAGATAGCGCTTATAACATGCTTTCAGATAAGAAAAAGAAAAAATAGGGTCACCGAATTGTTTTCTTGCTAATTATTAAAATAGGTTAATTCACAACACTTTCCATTATAGAATTACTTTATCGGAGTTATTCCCCCTACTATCTGAGTTATCTCTACTTATTTTGCAAAGTTAAAAAAACAAAAGTTTCAAACACAAATATGGTGGTTTTTAGAAATCACAGTCGTAAATATGATAAAACACATAATTTTCCATATTTACATTCAAAGTCTTACACATAAATTACATACAACTCTCAAATTTTGCACATTTCATTAAATATCTAGACCAATTGTTATCTGCTACTTCAAAATACAAGATGGAGGAAGACGTACGAGCCACCTTAATAGCCAATCTGAATCATCTGTTCCGGTGGAGGTAGTTGTTTTGATATTACGACCTGTCCCATAATTTGTCAACGAAGTATTGAACTTCATATTTATTTTGTACAAAACGATATCTAATCATGAATAAAAGAATAATAAAGTTTAAAATAAACATTCATCACATTAAATGTACACATCATACCAATCACGTGTACAAAAAACTCTTGTTAAGCAATTAAAGGTAAGTTTACGCCTAATGAGTTATTAATCCACGAACGTGTTGATCCGTGTACAGACACTGTTACAAAAGTCTATAATCAGTTATGTAGGGTTCAGTACAGGGCACTTTAATTTTTGATCTGACCTACAACTTCAGTTGAAAGGGGAAATGTCTCTAGATTTTTAAACTACAAACGAGTATCCGAGTACTTAAATTGTACTCGTTGCCATCCCTAGTTTTTGATATATTTCACATATTTTCAAATCTGGTATTGAGGTCTACAGTTTCATTGTATCTTTAAAAAAATTCAAGAGATAGACTTTCTGTTTAGACTTTTCCTCGGAGTTCGGTATTTTTGTTAGTTTACCTTTTAAACGTTAAAATTTGTTATTTCAGGGAAATAAATCGAATAAGTTGTATACCATTTTTATTTAACTGTGAGATGTTTCTGAGTAAACATTAGTGTTTGACTGATAATTTTGTAGTCATATTAGGTTGACGCGATAAAAACACTTGAAAAATAGCATGGGTAAATGTGTTTAAGTGTGTCTATTTGTAAACCTTAAACCGTTAGATTTACAACATGCATACATTGATGTGTATATAATAACTATGTTTGAACAGTATTGATTTACAAGCTGAACACTTCAATAATAACGCATATAATTCGCTAGGGTTTATGGTGATTTTTTCAATTTCTTCGTGGGTGACCAACTGTATGTCGGTTTCAACACCTGTATATCATTCTAATCAAATAAAACGAATTATCTTTCTCTTAATAAAATTTATAACATAAACAAATAAACAACCCACTCGTATCTTGTATAAATTTTAAGCAACAGTTATTTACTGATACGCAAATCACATACTTAAATCATATTAATTTAA